TAGACTTAATAGAAATATATTTGCAAGAGTATGTGTGAGGCTATTTATTAATTGATATGTTTTTCTTATTCAGAAATTGCCAAAGAACCTATCTGTGAGTTGTGGTATCGAGCCTGATGAAGAAGGCTCAGCTGGACTACGCCTCTCTGCAAGGGGCTCCGTCACCACCTGTACTTACCGCATGGACACAGACGGTCACACACACTTAAACTCGGTTGGGTGGAAGAGATTCGTCGTTGGCAAGAATCTTCGTGTTGGACATGCCATCCTAATTACTATCAGGAACACTCACCGCCCAGGCTTGAGGATGATGATCGTCGTCGATATCATCTAGAACTACATATGTGTGGCTATATCATCTAGAACTACATATGATGATCATCGTCGATATCATGTAGAACTACATATGATGATCGTCGTCGATATCATCTAGAACTAAATATGATGATCGTAGTCGATGTCACTTTGTACTGCTTGAGGATGCATGTTGAGTATATATGAAATTGTAATCTAGTACTTCCTTGGTTCCAAATTACTCGTCGTGGTTTTAGTTCAAATTTGAACTAAAATCATGACGGGTAATTTGGAACCGAGGGAGTACTACCTATTGATATCTAGTAGAACTAGTATCTGAAAATTGCAGTTTACTGAAGGCGGAATGGGGAAATGGTGGGAGATATAACAGTAGCACGGGAGCAGGAAATCGCTACATCTAACTAATAGTAGCGCGTTCGGGAAATGCGCTGCTGATATAGTCAATAGTAGTAGCGCAGGTACAGGCAACGCTACTACTAACGGTTAGCTGTAGCGCCTTATTCGTAGCGCAGGTGCCCGCGCTGCTGATAGCCTCAAAACCCGCGCTACTACTAGGGTTTTATCTAGTAGTGTACCCTTTATTATGAAGGGGTATAAACAGATCTCCACCATCGATGTGTTTAGGGGGGTTGTACCAAAGAAGAAGTGTTGAGACATCTATCTTATTTCATTGCATATATGGATGTTTTGTACTCTGTTTAGATTTTCAAGTGTATCTTCTTGTTTGTTAGACTCGTGTATTGGTACTTCTACCTGGTTACATTGTTTGTATCGAACCAGTGAACTTTGT